CCAACAATGCATTGCAGTAGTTGAGAAATACAGAAAAATACCTGTAAATGACTAATACGGAAAATTCCTTCACGTTTATACAGTAGATTGTACTGTATTTTTATGGATTTTTTTTACAGTGTATACTATACGCTTCTTCTGGGCTATATTCTCAGCAGCATATTAAACATATCAGGTCCCCATAAGGAGGATCATGTGCTAACGGCTGTCTAAATGACTCGGGTAAAGTTTGTAGCATGCATGCTTGTTGTTTTTGTCTGCTTCCACTTGTCTTTGCACTAGGATGTCGTCGGCGTAAGTGTGCAGTCATATTCGTTGTGTTCCCACCAGTGATTTCAGGTTAATCTCGTTGAAATGACCTTAACGCCACAACACGGCAAATCTCCGTTAACGAGCTACCCCTGATCGACCCGTGCATGGGGCTAGACACGGCCAACACGTTAACGAGCTAACTGCGCTAACACACTAGCTCCCACCCATGTAATTGAGCATTGCGTGGCACATCCAACATACTGTTGTACTTTAGTCCATGACGCGCTTACCTTCAGGGTCATACACTCTGTGAATCTGCATTCGACTACTCCGCCTAGGCTGCACTGTCGAGCGCAGATCCACCAAGCGTTCAACACAGACAGCATCGTCAGAAGAAAAAGTTGATAAAATGAATTAAAAATTTTGTATTGTTCGATACATATGCGTACCGAACCGAAAGCACTGTATCGAACGGTTCAATATCGATACGAGTATCGTTGCACCCCTAATGAATAAATATATATATATATAATGATGCAGTATCTAGATAGATAGATAGATAGATAGATAGATAGATAAAGATGTGATGCTGAGTATGTGTACAGTAACAGCAGAGTGTAGTAACTCTCTACAGGGTGGGCCATTTATATGGATACACCGTAATAAAATGGGAATGGTTGGTGATATTAAAGTCCTGTTTGTTGCACATTAGCATATGTGAGGGGCAAACTCCTCAAGATGGGTGGTGACCATGGTGGCCATTTAGAAGTCGGCCATCTTGGATACAACTTTTGGTTTTTTCAATAGGAAGAGGGCCATGTGACACATCAAACTTATTGGTAATGTCACAAGAAAAACAATGGTGTGCTTGGTTTCAATGTAACTTTATTCTTTCATGAATTATTTACAATTCTCTCTTTGTTCAGAGCCATTGACATGTCGAAGAGGTTAACATGTGAGGAGTAGAGATGGACCGATCCGATATTACGTATCGGTCCGATACTGACCTAAATTACTGGATCGGATATCGGAGAAAAATAAAAAATGTAATCCGATCCATTAAATATCACGAAAGCACCTCACAAAACTTGCAACACGCCGTAACTCGCCTCAGAACGTTAGCACGTTGGAGCAGTATGCATCACGTGATAGAGCGGCTGTGGCATGCAGGACCTGTCGATGGTCTGGATAGCATTTGGAGCTTCGCTAGCAACCCGGCATTTCATCTCCGACAAAGTTATCCCCGAGAGAAGTAAAGCAAGTGTGTAAGTCCATCTCTGAATGTTTGTAAAGCATTCCTGCGTTAAGCTTAACAAGCGATATTTGGAGCGACTGCCTCTTCTTGCTGCTACTTCAATCATGAAACTGCTTAACGATCAGCTGATCGGCTTTTCTGTCGCGAGTCCGTGTCTCTAGTTTGCTTTTGGCCCACTTTGCACCAGAAAGAGGAAACCAGCGGCTGAACAACAGCAGCACGTTTAAGCTTGATCAGCTGTTGTTAGAATGTATTTAATATTACTTTCTACTCCAGGATCTTTTTCTACAGCTGACACTGGTAACTGTGCAGGGGCGGATCTAGAAAAGTTTAGCCAGGGGGGCCGATAGGGCATTAACAGGGAAAAGGGGCACAAAGACATACTTTTCTTTCTTATTCTCATTTAAAATGTCTAGCTTTTAATAAATAATTATCTGACACCCAAAGTTTTAATTTGATGTAAAATGAATAGAAGTCAATTACTGTATATAGTGACTATTAAGTCTAATATATATACCCTAGTAAGCTATAGTACTTTTTCCTTTGGGAAGGTACCATCTGTGCAGTCTGCAATTTTGTTGAAGAAAGATGTTCTATTTAATATTTCTTGAAAAATAATTGATTTCTGTGCATTTTTTTTCACACTCCATCAAATTAAGGTTGATTACGTCGATTAAGCATCATGAGGTGGAGCGTGAGGGGTGGTTCCCTATTTTTTATTTATTTATTTTTGTTGTTGCTGGGAGTTGGAACCCTATTAGTTAGGTTGCTTAATATTTATGCTAAGTACTCTTTAAAATACCAGAATAGGGAGGATGGTGTAGGTTTAAGTTTATTAGATTGATCAGTATTGCTGAACTATGAAATTTTTTTTTTGCATACAGGTATAACAGAATAGCTTTAGTGTAGTTGTTGTTTTAAACTTGAGTATGAACTTATACAAAATGCAGCAAGATATTTAAAAAACAGTTTTGTTGATTAAAAAACACTATATCGGATTCATATCGGTATCGGCAGATATCCAAATTTATGATATCGGTATCAGACATAAAAAAGTGGTATCCTAGAGATGGCACGATACCACTTTTTTATGTCCGATACCGATATCATAAATTTGAGGAGCGGATCGAAATTGTGTTGATATCTGGTGAACGCAGTAACCGGGTCATTGCAGCAGATTTCAATGCAAGACACCCTACGAGACCATCCATCTCCCATGCTACAGTTAGCAAACTGCTTGCTAAGTTTCGTGAAACTGGTTCAGTGTTGGATTTGCCAAAATGTGGACGCAAGAAAGCTGTGACTAATGAAGAAACATCAGTGGCTGTCCTAGCTTCATTCAGCAAGAGCCCACAGCGTAGCACTGGCTGCATGTCACTGGAGAGTGGCGTTAGTCAAACATCCCTTCGGCAGATATTAGCTACTCACAAATGGCACCCTTACAAACTCCAGCTACTGCAGCATCTCAACGAGGATGACCCAGATCGGCCACAGAATTTGCAGAATGGGCAAAACAAAAACTGGAACAGGACCCTCAGTTCACGCAGAAGATTTTGTTCAGTGATGAGGCAAACTTTTATGTGAATGGTGAAGTTAACAAACAAAACCACCGCTATTGGTCTGACACTAACCCATATTGGATGGATCCCTCCAAGACTGTTGGAACAACAAAAGTGATGGTTTGCTGTGGTATATGGGGAACAACAATAGTGGGTCCATTCTTCATCAATGGAAACCTCAAGGCCACTGGATATTTGAAATTGCTACATGATGATGTGTTTCTCTCTTTATGCACTGAAGCTGGCACGTTCCCTGAGTTTTTCCAGCAAGATGGTGCACCACCACATTATGGGTGCCAGGTCCGAGCATTCCTAGATGAACAGTTTCCTGGAAAGTGGATTGGTCGTTGTGGGCCAGTTGAATGGCCCCCAAGGTCTCCCGATCTGACCCTCTTAGACTTTTATCTTTGGGGTCATCTGAAGGCAATTGTCTATGGTGTGAAGATATGAGATGTGCAGCACCTGAAACTACAGATACTGGATGCCTGTGCTGCCATTTCTCCTGCGGTGTTGCTATCAGTGTGTGAAGAGTGGGAGAAGAGGGTTGCACTGACAATCCAACACAATGGGCAGCACATTGAACACATTTTATAAGTGGTCAGAAACTTGTAAATAACTCATGAAAGAATAAAGTTACGTTGAAACCAAGCACACCATTGTTTTTCTTGTGACATTACCAATAAGTTTGATGTGTCACATGGCCCTCTTCCTATTGAAAAAACCAAAAGTTGTATCCAAGATGGCCGACTTCTACATGGCCACCATGGTCAACACCCATTTTGAGGAGTTTGCCCCCTCACATATACTAATGTGCCACAAACAGGACTTTAATATCACCAACCATTCCCATTTTATTACGGTGTATTCATATAAATGGCCCACCCTGTAGAATAACCTAGAATGGGTATATAGCACAGATACTGGTCATGATTTATGAGTGTGATGGCAGTGGGGGAACAAACTGTCTCTAGTTGTTGTGGTATGGGAGGTTTTCTAGTACCTGCCAGGTGGAGGGGAGGAGTTTAAAATCGGATGCTAAGCATCTCTGATGACTTTCGCTCCCCACTGGTTCTTGAGCAGTAAGATTTAGCCACTTGAAGCAGACAGCTGGCCTCTGACATGATTTTGCGAGATCCTTGGCTACAATCAGTTCCTGCCAGTGATGAAGTATAGTGTTTCAACCAGTGAAAGTAATCCAAAAGAAGTTAATTCATTAACAGCATATGCATTTTAAATTTGCTGAGGTCTTTTGTAATTATCATAGAATATTATTGTTAAAAATTTAATATATATTTGTTTAAGGCAAATATGTATTAAGTCTAAAGTATAAGTATACCTAAGTATAAAAATAAAATCAAAGGTGACAGCCACCCCAAATACTCTGTGTCTCATTTTGAACCTGGGCCAATAGACTCTTTTAAGTTAGATCTTTTTATAGTAAAAACGTAGATGGGAGAAAACATTTTACAGCTCATCAGAAGTTTTAGTTATTGGTACTAGAAGCTGTCAGCACATGTATATTTACTAGCAATGAATACCTCCAAATCCAATATTTAGGTGTCATCTTTGACATGATTCTTAGTTTTGAGCTGCAAATCAGAAGTGCAACCTTTTGTTTTGGTTATTTACTGTACCAGGAGTTACAGAAATCCCTGGATTGCAGTTTGTCTCATAAGGCTGTAATAAAATATTTAGTTAAGGGTACACTCAATTTTTTCTAGGCCATTTTCACAATTTTCACTTTAAAAAGCATTGCCTGATTATATCTTTTAAGCTTATATTACTTCAACAAAAAACTCTCAGATTTACTTTGCTGAATGAAAAACACGAGCTTTTGTCATAATATTGCAGAGCTAACCGACTTTCTTATCTCAGTGCTTTCTGACTTTCCAACCATATCTGCAGCATAGTAATTCCTTAACAGAGCTGCTCAGATGTGCTGGTGTGCCCACTCAGACCAGTTGAGCGTTTTCGGGATCTTCGGCCAGATGAGCTAGCAGATTTGTTCTCCACCGCTCAGAGAGTCGCCAACTTGGTGGAGAAACACTTCAATGCCACCTCAATCACCATCGCCATTCAGGTAAACCACACACTCGGTAATATTTTTTAACAGTCACTGTCACAGTCGGGGAGAAACTGACTTTGTGGAGTGACCTGGTGGACCCAGGTGCAGACAAGCAAAAACCCAACTTGATCTTAACAAAGGGCGAGCTGGACGTGAACATAGAAACCTAACATGGGAAACCTGAAACATGAAGACTTGAAGAAGCATCATTTCATAGACCTGGAATCATGGCATGACAAAGTAGGATGGACAGATGAGAAATGAATGAAAACTGACAGACTAAATACACACAGGAGGTGAATGATCACAAGGACTCCACAGGGGACAGGAATGCCACAGGCATCAAAACAGGACGCAGACATGAAAACACCATAAACTCAAAATGCTGGGTGATATGACCCAGAACCATGACGGTACTTGAAAAGTAGGGTAATAATAAAAATAGGGTGATAAAAAAATAGGATAATAATGCAGTAATGCCACCCTCCCGAGAGCCAGAGGTAGACTGGGTAAGACCCAGGAGACCCCAGCCGTCCACGGCACCCAAGAGAGCTGAAGATCCGAGGGGAGCAAGCATCTCTTGAGCTTTGCCATGAGCAGTTGCTCAAAAAATTTCATAACTATGGGCACGAGTTCAACAGGGTGACAGTTGTTCAGGTATGTTGGTGGTGAGTGTTTCGGCCCTGGCACAATGGAGATGGTCTTGAAGCACATTTAGGAGAGAGAGAGGGGGGAAAAAAACTATGTAGCTCATTTTTTTTACTGTAAGGTGATGGGAAATAATGATCAGTGTGGTCACATAATTGTGTAGATACTGACTGTATCTTTTTTTCTACAAACCCAAATCTGAGAAAGTTGAAAAGTTGTGTAACATGTAAAAACGAAAAGTCAGATTCAATGATCAGATCAACCATATTTGTTCACAATATAGCCTTGAAAACATATCAAATGTTAATCTGAAAAAAGGTCTTTTCTTAGATCTTTTTGCGCAAGGGACCACAAGTAAAGAAAAAAAGGTGGCGATTTAGCAATAGTACATGTGAGAGGATTGGTCTTTTCATGCGTGGGCCCATAAACTGGTAACTCAGTATTTATTTCACTTTCCTTCATTTTGGAAGAGAATCGAGGCGCAAAAAATAGTCACTCACCTCCAGCGAGTATTATGCTGCAGCGGACAGTAAAGGGACAACAAACATACTGTGTCTTGTACTGCTGCATCTGTAACAAACCACACTCACACTCTGACTAGAGCCACAAAATAGGTTTTAATAATATTTCCTAGCATGGGAAATCTGAGTGACCCAACTGACTATTGCCAGGGCAATTTTTCCACTGCAGGTAAGCTCAGTGGAAAAATCACATACAAAATACATAAATGCAATTAGATAAAAAATCACATTTAACATAATTTGACAATCTCTACAAGATAAATGGAGAATTTACCTGCTGTATTTTTACATTATAGCTGTTGGATCGAGTGTTAATGACTGTTCTGCAAATCCATCTGTTCCAAAAGGTTTTGAGTAATGGTTTGAAGTGGAGATTTTGAGTTGGCTGTAATTCTTAAACAGATACTGCTATATCTTTGTTAAAACCCATCAATTAACGTTGGTTGTATGCACTTTAGTCTAAATATGGAACATTTAAAAAACTAAATCCCATTGAATAAATATAGCCAAAAAGTTGCCTATGAAGACAAATATCTCAGGATAAAGACGGCTTTGACACAAACCAAGGGGGTTGTTTTAGGGGAGGTGAGATGTTATTACCTCATCTTAAATTAAATTCTTTCTTTAAAATATTAATGCAAGTATATCTAAATTCTCATCTCTGGACTAATTACCCCTTTCTTTTCCCACCAGGATGGCCCTGAAGCCGGACAAACTGTGAAGGTGAGAACTTAATAATTTATGACCTTGAAATATGTCATGAACCCTCTGCAATAGTTATGCACTATTAAATAATCATCATAATTAACTTGTAGAGCTAAACTCCTGGAGATGGCGAATTATTCAGTTATCTTTTCTAAAAGGTGTAATTTTTAGTTTGGTTGAAGGCTACATGAAATAATTCATGTCACTTGCTTGGGAGCCTTTGGGAAAGTTCACAGGTTAAAGGAGGGGAGAGAATCATCCTCTTGTAAAATAATCCACTGTACTGTTGTGCTATTTTTTACTATATTAAAAAATGTATGATGCATTTGAACCTTATGAATAATAAATAAAATATCAGTGTATGAGATCCAGCATATGTGTTGCTCATATTACAGTTTGAAATGCACATCATAAGTGGAGAAGTTTTTGGCAACAAATGAGTAAAAGGTTTAGATGATGTGCTTGTATGCTGTATGAGGCAAGAAGGAAACATTTGATCTTTATACAACCGTTGGGTCGCATAGCCGGTAATAAATAAGACTCATTCCCAGTGGGTGATAGGCTCTGCCAGGGCTGCCATTTGTCACCGATTCTGTTCAGAATTTTTATTGACATAATTTCTAGGCGTAGCCAAGTGACGGAAGGCATTCACTTAGTGGGTCTCAGAATCTCATCTCTGCTTTTCCCGGATGATGTTGTTCTGTTGGGTTCATCAGGTGATGGCCTCAAGCTCACACTGGAATGGTTTGCAGCCAAGTGTGAAGGGCACAGGAACAACCTCACAAGGTTCATAGATGGGTATACTAGTGGTGTGCGGATTGATATAGAAATATCGATTCTTCTGATACCAGTAGTTTAAGTTCTAGAATCGCTTCTCATATTAAAATATCAATATTTTAGTACTTTGGGGTAAATTTGTAGTTTTTCATTAACAGGAACACAGTGGAAAGAAACTATATCATTCGGATCGTCTAAATTGGAAGGAACCACTTCCTCTTATGCCGTTCATAGTCATATGCGAAATACGGCTGTATAAATGTGTGGCAGCCCCTGGCGTGCGCACTCACAATGGCTGAGTGTAAACAGAGTCATGTGTGGGCATATTTTACTTCCACAAACAGCCAAGACGCGGTTTGCGATACATGTGGCAAGAAAGTGAGGTGTTGTAGCAACACCACTAACCTCGTCAAACACCTCAGAGTAAATCATATCACAGAATATGACGAGCTTATGTTGAGCCGAACTGAAGAGGAGGAGAGGGACAGGTGCTGCTAGGGCGAGACAGACGTCTCTCACGGAGTCCTTTAGTGCTGCAGGCAGGCAACGTGTTCAAATAGCACAACTTCAGGTTTTATTTATTTCTATATGATTTTTCTGCATTTTTAAGCAATAAGAACAAGTAGTGTGATTTCCTGTAATCATTATGAAGCTATATTATAATAATATTACAATTACATATTGCATTATGAAATAAAATTCAATATTGGATCGGAAAGGAAATCAGTGGTATCACAAATCATTAGGGTCTACCACACCAGGCAAGAGCCCAGGTGCAGAGTGTGTAAAGATGGCCCTGAGACAATCAAGCACATAACAGCAGGGTGCAAGATGCTAGCACTTTGGGCAGTGACCTCTAAACTGGGCAGGTGGCTCCTGCAGATCCCAGGAGTGATATCTGAGATCTCCCAGAAGAGTGCTTTAAACACCTTGCTTTGTGATATATAAATAAAATTTAATTTAATTGCTCAGTAAATACGTGAGGCAGCGAGAAACCCAAGAAACAAGGGGATCAAGAAGAGGAACAATCATGGAACAACAGGCCCCTACATGGCATGAACCACCAGTAGACAGAAAAAGTGGCTGATATTGAAAAATCCTACCTGTGATGGACTGAGTTGAAAAACAGGAGTCCCAGGAATTATTAGAAAAATATGGTTTTCATTTATTTAACCCCCAAAAATTAGATTTACAAAAGTAATAAATGTTGAGCTCATGAAAGAGGTCAAAGAAACAAAACTGAACTCAGGCAAAGACTGCAAACTTAACAAACCAAATGACTGCCCAAACAAACATAATTGACCTAAACATGACGCACAGGGGTATATATAATAGCTGATCAGACCATTGTGACACATGAGGGGCAACAAACAAACACAATCATAAATCACAACACAATGCAGTACAATCTAGTTTGTTAATAAACTAAACACTAAAGAAGAAAATCAAAACCACTAAACCCTAAACTCAAATATTTAATTAAATAGAAATACTTTGTGTGTTTTCTTTAATTTAAAAACATTCTCCCCTTCAGTAGGAAGTGGTGGTGTGGTCCAATTATCCCTCTTTGCATTTAGTGGTTTCAAACCTTGGCTACCATCTTTTGTCCAGCAACTCCCATGGATGACGGCAGGTAAGAAATAAAAAGACAAAGGTTAGTCAAAAATCAAAGTGAAAAAAATGAAGTGGTATGAACACATAAGTAAACTAAATGTGCGCGCTTAACAATAGAACAAATGTATCCAAACCAATCAATAAAGTTATTGAAAACTAAAGTGTATTACTATGTTCAAATGAAGAAATGAAAATACAAGAGTTACTGACTTTAGAGTGTGGCCATGGGTTTGGCCATCACACTACCAATGGCTTGACCAAGCTGGACTGGAAGACAGCACAGAGGAACAAGCTAGAAACACATCACAGGAACAAGTTGCAAGTATGATAGAGGCTTGGGTCTGGCATGCTAGGTAAGACCCCAGGTACAGGCCAGACTCAGACAGTCTAGCACATAACGGCAGCATGTGAGATACCAGCAGGCAGGGCATACATGGCACACCATAACCAAGTGCCTGGCATAGTTTACAGAAGTATCTGTGATATGTATGGCTTGGAAGTCCTGTGGTCAAAATGTGATACGCCCCCTTGAGAATGACCGAGCTAAGATCCTGTGGGACTTCCAGATACAAACGGACAAAATGGTGGTGGCTAACCAACCGGACATAGTGGTGGTAAACAAACAGAAGAAGACGGCCGTAGTGATCGATGTAGCGGTTCCCAATGACAGCAACATCAGGAAGAAGGAACACGAGTAGCTGGAGAAATACCAAGGGCTCAGAGAAGAGCTCAAGAGGATGTGGAGGGTGAAGGTGACGGTGGTCCCCGTGGTAATCGGAGCACTAGGTGCGGTGACTCCCAAGCTAGGCGAGTGGCTCCAGCAGATCCCGGGAACAACATCGGAGATCTCTGTCCAGAAGAGCACAGTCCTGGGAACAGCTAAGATACTGCGCAGGACCCTCAAGCTCCCAGGCCTCTGGTAGAGGACCCGAGCTTGAAGGATTGACCGCCCACAGGGGCGTGCTGGGTGTTTTATATATATATATAGATATATATATATATAAGCAAGCACCCGGCACGCCCCTGCGGGCGGTTTATCCTTCAAGAAACTAAATCCTTGAATAAACTAATTAGATCCACTCCATCATCTTCATCCTCAAAGTCATCTTCTCCAAAATGCAGAAAGGACGCGCTGTGTCGACTTTTGTCATGTCGGTAAAGGCACTCGCTTTTGAAGGGGCAGCATTGGTATCGAGAGTAGTAGGGTAAACTGGGAGCTTGAGGGTCCTGCGCAGTATCTTAGCTGTTCCCAGGACTGCGCTCTTCTGGACAGAGATCTCCGATGTTGTTCCCAGGATCTGCTGGAGCCACTCGCCTAGCTTGGGAGTCACCGCACCTAGTGCTCCGATTACCATGGGGACCACTGTTACCTTCACCCTCCACATCCTCTCGAGCTCTTCTCTGAGCCCTTGGTATTTCTCCAGCTTCTCGTGTTCCTTCTTCCTGATATTGCTGACATTGGGAACCGCTACATCGATCACTAAGGCCGTCTTCTTCTGTTTGTCTACCACCTCTATGTCCGGTTGGTTAGCCACCACCATTTTGTCCGTCTGTATCTGGAAGTCCCACAGGATCTTAGCTCGGTCATTCTCCACCACCCTTGGGGGCATCTCCCATTTTTACCACAGGACTCCCAGGTTATACTCGGCACAGATGTTTCTGTACACTATGCCAGCCACTTGGTTATGGCGTTCCATGTATGCCTTGCCTGCTAGCATCTTGCACCCTGCTGTTATGTGCTGGATTGTCTCTGGGGCATCTTTACACAGCCTGCACCTGGGGTCTTGCCTCATGTGATAGACCCCAGCCTCTATGGATCTTGTACTCAGAGCTTGTTCTTGTGCTGCCATGATTAGTGCCTCTGTGCTGTCTTTCAGTCCAGCTTTGTCCAGCCATTGGTAGGATTTCTGGATATTAGCCACCTCCTCTATCTGCCGGTGGTACATACCGTGCAGGGGCCTGTCCTTCCATGATGGTTCCTCGCCTTCCTCCACTTTCTTGGGATTCTGCTGCCTGAGGTATTCACTGAGCACTCGGTCAGTTGGGGCCATCTTCCCAATGTATTCTTGGATGTTCGTTGTCTCATCCTGGACTGTGGTGCTGACACTCACCAGTCCCCGGCCCCCTTCCTTCCGCTCAGCGTACAGCCTCAGGGTGCTGGACTTGGGGTGAAACCCTCCATGCATGGTAAGGAGCTTTCTTGTCTTTATGTCAGTGGCTCCTATCTCCTCCTTTGGCCAGCCTATTACCCCAGCAGGGTACCTGATCACGGGCAGGGCGTAGGTGTTGATAGCCCGGATCTTGTTCTTACCGTTCAGCTGACTCCTCGGGACTTGCCTGACCCTCTGCAGGTACTTGGTGGTTGCAGCTTTTCTAGCGGCCTCTTCATGGTTCCCATTCGCCTGCGGGATCCCCAGGTACTTGTAACTGTCCTCTATGTCTGCAATGTTGCCTTCTGGTAGTTCAATCCCCTCAGTTCTGACTACCTTCCCTCTCTTTGTTACCATTTGACTACACTTCTCCAGTCCGAACGACATTCCAATGTCATTGCTGTATTGCCTGGTAGTGTAGATCAGTGAATCGATGTCTCGTTCACTCTTGGCATACAGCTTGATGCCATCCATGTACAGGAGGTGGCTGACAACTGCTCCGTTCCGTAGTCGGTATCCATAGCCAGTCTTGTCAATTATCTCACTGAGGGGGTTCAGGCCTATGCAGAACAGCAGTGGGGACAGAGCATCTCCTTGGTAGATCCCGCACTTGATGGTGACTTGTGCTATGGGCTTGGAGTTGGCCTCTAGTGTTGTACACCACATCCCCATTGAGTTCCTGATGAAGGCTCTTAGGGTCCCATTGATCTTGTACAATTCTAAGCATTCCAGTATCCAGCTGTGGGGCATTGAGTCATAGGCCTTCTTGTAATCAATCCAGGCAGTGCACAGATTGGTCAGTCTGGTCTTTCAGTCTCGGCTGACTGTTCTGTCTACCAGTAGCTGGTGTTTTGCGCCTCTGGTATTCTTGCCAATCCCTTTCTGTGCCCCACTCATGTATTGACCCATGTGCCTGTTCATCTTAGCCGATATGATGCCTGATAGGAGCTTCCATGTAGTACTGAGGCAGGTTATTAGTCGGTAGTTGGATGGGACCGGTCCCTTCTGGGGGTCCTTGATGATCAGGACTGTCCGGCCTTCGGTTAGCCATTCCGGGTGTCTCTGGTCAACTAGCAGCTGATTCATTTGTGCTGCCAGACGCTCGTGGAGTGCAGTCAGCTTCTTCAGCCAGTAGGCGTGAACCATGTCGGGCCCTGGTGCTGTCCAACTCTTCATACTGGAGACCCTTTCTTGGATATCTGCCACTGTGATGGTTACTGGACCCTGTTCAGGGAGGTTGCTATGGTCTGCCCTCAGATCCACTAGCCACTGAGCATTGCTGTTATGGGTTGCGTCCTTCTCCCATATGCTCTTCCAGTATTGCTCCGTCTCCAGCCTTGGTGGTGCTGTTCTCTTATTGTTCCCTTGCCACTGAGAGTACACCTTTGCTGGTTCTGTGGAGAACAGCTGGTTTATTCTCCTGCCTTCTATCTCTCTGGTGTACCTCCTCAAGCGGCTGGCCAAGGCTGTGAGTCTTTGCTTGGCAGTTTCCAAGGCCTCAGGTGTGGATAGTTTGCTGTATTTCTTATGCACCTTCTTTGCCGCACCTTTCTGCAACTCCGTTAGTTGGCTAACCTCCCTCTGTGCTACTTTGATCTTGCTCTCTAGCCTCCTTCTCCATGGAGGGTACTGCCCCTTGTGGCTGTTCAACTTGTAGCCAAGCATCTTACTGATCACTGCTGCCGTATTGTAGATCAGCTTGTTAGTGTCGGTAATCGTGGTTGTAGGTATCGTCCGTAGTGCTGCATTAACATCATCTAGCAGACCTTCTGAGGGTACTTCACGTAATCTTGGTAACCGGCTATGGGGGATCCAGTTTTCTAGCTTGGCCATGATCCTATTTTTCAGGTCAGTCCCTCTGCGCATCATTAATTCCGCCTGTGTGTTCTCAGTCTAGATCAGTCATTCAGTTCATTTCATCATCCATGTTCAGTTCATCCAGTCTCGATAATAAAACTTCCTCAATCAGCCTGCAAGTCCTGCATGTGGGTCCTCTTTCCAGTCTCCACACACCCACCATGAGAACATTGTCAGGAAAAACTTTTAAATGATCTTTTTTCTCACCATTTCTTAATGGCATTTAGTTTTACAATGGATTGCACAGCACTGGAAAGGAAAACAACGAAAAAACAATTTCAGTACACTAAATATCTTTCTGAATGTGTTGGAACAAAACTGAAAGAAGCTCTTCTCTTCTTTGTGCAGAGAAGATACCTGGACTCGACTCCCACAGAGGTCGATTATCTCGTTAATAGTGTTACATGCTCACTGCATGCGAAGGAAGCAGGAAATTTTGGAGGTTTATGCCCCGGCATACCCTGGTATAAAGTCATGACAAACCAGAAAAGTCTTAAGCTTGAGAGAAAATAGCTTTGCATTTATTTAAAAGATCTTTCTTTGGTTTGGAAAAAGTTTTACTTGTTTTATTCTGTGAAACGTCACTGACAGAGAAAAGCCCCAGGTTTTTCTTCAGCACTGTGGCCAGGCTGACAAAAAGTAAGAGCTCTGTTTGAGCCAAGCGTCCGTTACCCTTAACTAGTAATGACCTTCTTCACAAATACAATATTAATCATTATAGAAGAAATGATTCATAACCAGCTTAGAGACATATCATTACGTACCACTACTTTCTCCTAATTGACAAAAAGGTTCTTGTACTCTGCACGTAAAATCTTAGTCTAGATGATATTACTTTGGCCTCAAGTGCACTGTTGGACTCATTGTTAACCACAATATGTTCTGTGTGCATATTAAACAAATATGGAGGCTTTCTGCTATTTGCACTGCATTTCTAAAATTAGAAATATCCTGTCTGAGTGATGCTGGAAAAGGATTTTATTCATTTGTATACTTGAAAGAGGACAAGAAAGAAAAATCATATTTCTCCCACACTGGCTTCTCTTCATTGCCCCCCTGATAAATCCAGAACTGACTTTAAAATCCTTTACCTGACACACAAGTGTAACAATGGTGGTGCAATACTAGACCTGTTAGTGCTACTTCTTGCCTTCTTTGTATGTAGTACGGCAGTATAGTTACCTTTAACCACAGTACGAGGACAGAAGGGAAATATGGACCAGATCAGACAGGTTCTAGATTTGTAGGAGCCAAGGGTGTATGACAACAGAGGACTTGTACACAGTAGGTGTAGAAAACACAATTGCATTTATTAGCAATTATTAAAGTTGTGCACATTTAACAAAAGTAGAGCGCTCTTCTTGAAGACAAAATAAAATAAAATAAACCCCACAAATGGTCGACCTAAGGATAGATTGTCTTTGTGTCTTTTTTAAAGTCAATTTCAGTCTTTCAATGTTCAATAGTCACTCAGTGTGTGTGTAACCAGTCGGGTTACAATCTACCAGTTCATCTGGCTCTTTGGGCTGGGCTCGCCATCCAGTACTGGAAAAGGGATCCTCGATTCTTCTCAGGTCCTCAAAACCAATCCAATCCAAATAAGCAAAGGGAAAAAAACCTGACCTGGGGACCAGGCCAGAACACAGTAGTTCAACATTTAAGCTATCATGCTTGTAACTTATTATTACTACTGGTTGCTTGTAGTGCTTCTAAATTTCTTTCAAAATATTCTATGTTGTACAACAAATTATTCTCATTTCAAAGGGAAAAAGTGCATAGGAAACACACATTTAAAATAATACAAAATAGCTCAGCAGTGCATTAAAAATACACATTGGCTTGAGACTTATCAAGTTTCAGCTAAGTAAAGTGCAGGTGAAGGCACTTAATTTCACATTGCTAATACTTAATTGTGCAGAACTATAATTAGCACCATGAGAAAAGGGAACATGTGCTAACATAACAACATCGCACAAAACCATGCATTATACATCAATACCACAGTAATGTGACATAAACCTTTAAAGAACATCTCGTATAAAGTGCAGCAGACTCAGTGCTAATTGCTTTAGCCTCAGAAGAGGCACTTTCATTGCAAAATGGCTAACGGAAGTTAGCATCAGAGCTAGCGGCAGGTAGCATGCTATGCTAGCGCACGTGTACTGCCTGGGACTTACCATGTGAAGCAACAAATGCTACACGGGGCTTCACAGTGCTCACGTTGGCTCATGGCCTCTGGAATACAGTATCACTCTTATTATTCTCGCCGAAAAAAGGACTTTCTCTATCCAGCTAGCTTCTTCGCCACACGGGTAAACTGATCTTTCACCGTCTGTGTCTCTGGCGTATCTGACTGGCACACGAAGGCACACACAGGTGTCTGAGCAGCGCACAGTCTGGGGGAGGGTCAGACCGGCCAATGATTGGTCGCTCAGTGGATCTGACAAACACACTCTACAGGACTAAGTCCTGCCCCCACACCATTTATACATTACATATACATATGTACATATTAAACTTATATTTACATGCTTTTTATCAGTATTTATTATAATTAACTTTATTTTTATCAATATTTATTCCCATTGTGAGAGTATGAATATTTATACTTTTAATCCTGTTTTTAACACTGGGTTACACAAGGTCTTGAATTATGAGGCCCAATCTTATCTTAAAGATCTCATAGTACCACATTATCCTTATCACTTTATTCTTAGGCTTTGTTTGATTTATTTGTGGGGTAGCATTTCTAGGATGCAGAGCCTTCAGCTTTCAGACCCTGTGGAACGAGCTTTTAGTTTGGATTTCAGAGACACACACCTTCTGTATTTTAAAGGCAAATGTATTTATCCCGTAATTGGGGAAATTCTACTTCTAAAGTAAACACAGCCAACAAACAAAATAATAGTTTAATTAATGAAGTAAAAACATTTACTACAGATTATGACATCAGTGTAGATTAATATGGCAAAATTACTCAAAACCAAGAAATAAAGATATGTAAAAGCAATGGTTCTGAATTTCAAAGGACCCAGAACACTGCTGCTAAAACATAGTTTTATATTGGAGTGGTCTGAATTTGTCTTTTTATTTCTTTGTAAATTGTAGATAAAATGCATAATTACTAGTTACCTACTGTAAAGTGATATACTCAGTAGTATAGGTATATAGTACAATTGTATATTAGCAAAAACTGTTAGCTATCTGTTGCTCCTGGGTCCTAGAATAAAGTCAGGTCAATTCTTAAAAACATAAAAATAAAAAATCCCTGCTTGGTGAAATGCACCCTTCCCTCCGGTGATTTGTGCCATGCCAGTAACATTCTGATGGCTTCTCCAGCATACTGTGAAACTCTGTCATAGTGCTCCCAGGAAAAAGTAAGATTTTCTCCAGATCAACCACAATATCTAAACCTTGTTTGTATGTTTACAGCATGTCCACGTCCACGTGCTGCCCAGGAAGGCTGGGGATTTCAAGCACAATGACAGCATCTACGATGAGGTAAGATGGACAACTTTGGGCCATCCCTATTAGTCCATTTAAAAATTATTTTAGATTTCATTTTAAATAAAAAAAGGATTTTTTTCACTGTCAGTCACTGTGTACAGGACACAAAAACATCTGAGTCAGTGTGGGCTTATACTTTGGTAAGCTATGTGAAAAATGTTAAGAAATAGTTGAGGGTACCAGGACTTGCATGGCTTTTGTAAAAAAATATGATCTGGGTACTTGATCACTGATGAGATGTCTGTGACACAAGACAGCCTATTTCCCCATTCTCTCCTGCTGACCAGTAAGAACATAACTAAATGAAAACAGCACTATGGTGGCTGCTGACTTATCTTCTAGTTCTGCACAACTGGCATTGTTCTCCCAAGCTCATGCTTCAGTGTGTCACCACAGCAGTATGAAAGGACAATTCACTGCTAATGAACTGAGTCACATGTGGCTGCTAATAATGTTAATTAAACATCTGAGTTTGAACAAATATCAGTGAGCTATCTATCCTCAGGAGCCAGAATCCCCAAACCAATGAACTATAGCACTTCACTATGAAAATAATGAACGTGACTTTCAGACTATTTTAAATTTCACTGTGATATTTTGAATTTGTAACAAGAGAGTCTGTGGCAAATGAATATCAATGACTGGGGACTATGATATGAATATTCTAATAACCACGTCTAATAAAAAAGAGCTCTCTATACTTCCTGCTCCTGCCTAAGGGGAGAAATGAGACGTGCATCTCCACAGTGGAGTCCCAGCAGCAAAATGGAAATAGGTTTGTTTTTAATTTGCATGTGATCATAAGGTTTATTGTAAGAGCAGTCCCATTTGTATTTTCCATATCACATCCAGCAAATGAGACATAGTCTGAAGATGTTTGTAGGAGCGTAAATGCATAGACAGATTTGTCTTAATTTCATGTCCAATATTTTGCATGATGAATGTAATGGGTTGATACTTGGTTAGATTGGTCAGATTTCATGGCTCATTCGTTTGAGTAATATTTAATAGTAACATGCAAATGATTTATATTTTTTGGCACTGTAAGGTGGGGTGCTCATTTAGTATAATTAATTTATGTGTTTGTAAGGTAATTGTTGTTATTTATTTTTTATCATGTGTGTGTTTATTATTGCATTTCTATAAGGTGCAATTTGAACATGTACCAAGAAAAAAAAAGAAAAGGAAAAAAGACAGGAGATGCACGTATGTGTGTGGAGCCAACCCCCTTTTTTGACCTCTTTGTCTCTCTTCATTCTTAAAAATGTTGGCAAATTTGGAGGCTAAAAGGAAATCTGATGTTGAACACAAACAAATAGAGCCATGTCTGTGAAGGTTCTCAGTCATCCAGGTCATCGTAGTCAAAGGAGCTTGCAAAGAAAAGCGTCTGGACTTCTTTAAGTTGCTTGAAGACGTTTCACCTCTCATCGGAGAAGCTTCTTCAGTTCTAAGGCCAAATGGTGGAGAGTCCCAGATATAAACCTAGTGAGAGTGACGCCCCACAGAGGGACAAAAGGACCCCCTGATGATCCTCTAATCGCCTGAGCCAAGGTGTGAAACTGGGCGTGGGTCCCAATCAGCCAGAGTTTCGGGTGAGTTCATTGTGAAACCTGGCCCCACCTTATCATGCGAATTCCTGAGGTCAGATGGCCCAGGATGTGAGTGGGCGTTAAGGCGTCTGGGAAGGGATCTCAAGGAAGGAATCCTTCACTGCGCACATTAACGCTGTGGATAAAAACATCAAGTTCATGAGGGAAGACACAAAGGACAACTGTTTGCCTTTCCTGGACTGCGCTGTGCACATTGAAGAGAACGGCAAATTCAACATTGAAGTTTACCGGAAGCCCACACACACGGACCAGTACCTCCTGTTTGACTCCCATCACCCTTTGGAACACAAACCTGGAGTGATTAGGACCCTACACCACCGGGCAGAACATGTTCCCTCTAAGCCTGAAGGGAAAAAGAAGGAACACACACATGTAAAGGAAGCACTCAAAACGTGCGGCTATCCTAAATGGGCGTTCTTAAAGTCAGCAAAGAAAGGAAGACCAGACACCAGCGAGGGAGGATAAGAAGGACAGACGCAACAACATTGTCATCCCCTATGTAGACGGTGTATCAGAAAAACTCAGGAGAGTTTTCTCCAAGCATGACATCCCGGTGCATTTCAGACCCAGCAACACACTCAGACAGAAACTGGTTCACCCGAAAGACAAAACTCCAAAACACAGACTTAACAATGTGGTGTATGCTGTACAGTGCAGCGAGGAATGCCCAGACCTCTACATTGGAGAGACCAAACAGCCACTTCACAAGCGCATGGCACAACACAGAAGAGCCACCTCCACAGGACAAGACTCAGCAGTCCATCTGCATCTTAAGGATAAAGGACACTCTTTCGAGGATGCCAATGTTCACATTTTGGACAGAGAGGACAGATGGTTTGAAAGAGGAGTGAAAGAAGCATCTATGTCCACTGTGAGTGACCATCTTTGAACAGAGGCGGGGGTTTACGACACCAACTCTCTGCCATCTATAATCCAGTTTTGAGATCCCTTCCCAGACGCCTTAACGTCCACTCACATCCTGGGCCATCTGACCTCAGGAATTCGCATGATAAGGTGGGGCCAGGTTTCACAATGAACACACCCGAAACTCTGGCTGATTGGGACCCACACCCAGTTTCACACCTTGGCTCAGGCGATTAGAGGATCATCAGGGGGTCCTTTTGTCCCTCTGTGGGGGGAAACTCCCACTAGGTTTATATCTGGGACTATCCACCATTTGGCCTTAGAACTGAAGAAGCTTCTCGGATGAGAGGTGAAACGTCTTCAAGCAACTTAAAGAAGTCCAAACGCTTTTCTTTGCAAGCTCCTTTGACAAACAAATAGAAGCTGCTATAGACACTAGAACTGAAATGCATGCAATGCAGACTGCTCTTGCTGAGTCAGATGCAAAAATTGGAAGTTTTGCCAAAGTATAGCTATAAAGAGGACTTTGAACCCCACAAAAATGCTGCACCTGAGCCATAATAGCAGCAGATTTTAACAGCCTCTGGGGCCTCACCTAGCTCTGAGTAAGCGCTGCCCCCTATTTTCCAGCCTTCAGCGGAACTTGCCTCACCCAGCTGGGTCAGTGATACTTTGGGCTCACATTGAGGTTTTTTAACATTAGTTTGCTGAGTGATCGCTTTACACAAGTTATCAAACACCGGGCACTCACCAAAGTCAACATTAAACCGAGCTGATGTTCTTGGAGGAATTTCTCAGTTTTCAGTGATCCAAAACTCCAATCCAATTCTCGTGTACATGTGGGCGTAGCCTGTGTCTCCAAGCAGTCTCAAGAGTGTGGTAGAGATACCAGGAGACAGATTATTACATGAGTGTGAATAGCCTATCTCTATGAGTACAGTAGAAAACTAGATTCTTTTAAATAACCATGTCATATTTTTCAGACAGGAAGTGACCACTTTGCAGTTCACAATTCACAAGACAAGCAAGTTATGAAGTGCAAGCTCCACCAGCTGTTTAGGTTTTACGTATAAATCACTGTGTTGACCTGATGTGCTAAGTGGAACTATTTAATTGATATTTTGAATCTTCTTACATATGCTCTCGCTTTTTTTCTATAAACAATAAAAGAATATACAGTGACAAGTACAAACAAGTCGAGGAACAAATTCATTATGATGAGTTTGTGCAAGCAAAAGCTGATCACTGGGTCTCCATACTGAACTTAAAGAGTGGTCTCATGTACAGTTTTGAAGAAGAAAATCTGCACTCTGTAAACATTTTTTTAAACCCAATAACAGCTGATATCTCAATGCATTTTCATGGACTAGTTAATACAGAAAACAATCCAAATTTGTTCTGGCAATATATTATTACATATCACATCTTCATTGTCTTTGTAGTTACAAAACCACGATCAAGAGGATAAGGACATACCATCCAAGTGGAGATCAGAGGAAGAAATGGCAGCAGAAGCTTCAGATCTGAGGAAGCAGCTCTAGAAACCTGAACCAATGATGTCAGTAATTCAATAAAGGCAGCACCGCCATGAACATAAAGTTCAACATAAACATCTGCAATGTGAACTATAATAAAAAATATTATTGTTTTATTTGACTTAATTTGATTATATGTATATTAAATCCTCAAAATCTTTGCTGAATTATGCTGTATATCAACCAACCAAGTCAACCAAAAGAAATCTAACTTTTGAATTTTTTTTTAAATAAATTGAAATTTTTATTTCAGTCAACAACAACAACAGATTATAATTTTACATAAAAGTACTCAAACAGTAACCGAAAAAGGAATAGGCTGAAGCCTTATGGCTTATACTTATCCTATCCCTTACCCCCATAGAAATAATCAAATCCTTAAGAAAATAAATAGCATTGATAAATAAGTTGTATAACAGTTTGAAAAGAAATCAATGATAAATCCATCCATCCATCCATCCATCCATCTTCATCCGCTTATCCGAGGTCGGGTCGCGGGGGTAGCAGCCTAAGCAAAGAGGTCCAGACCTCCCTCTCCCCAGCCACCTCCTCCAGCTTGTCCGGGGGAATACCAAGGCGTTCCCAGGCCAGCCGAGAGATATAATCTCTCCAGCGTGTCCTGGGTCTGCCCCGGGGCCTCCTCCCGGTGGGACATGCCTGGAACACCTCGCCCAGGAGGCGCCCAGGGGGCATCCTTGCCAGATGCCCGAACCACCTCAGCTGGCTCCTTTCGATGTGGAGCAGCAGCTGCTCTACTCTAAGCCCCTCCCGGATGGCCGAACTTCTCACCCTATCTCTAAGGGAGAGGCCAGCCACCCTTCGGAGGAAGCTCATTTCCGCCGCTTGTATCCGCGATCTCGTTCTTTCGGTCACTACCCACAGCTCGTGGCCATAGGTGAGGGTAGGGACGTAGATCGACCGGTAAATTGAGAGCTTCGCTTTTACACTCAGCTCCCTCTTCACCACGACTGACCGGTGCAGCGTCCGCATTACTGCAGCCGCAGCCCCAATCCGTCTGTCGATCTCCAGCTCCCTTCTCCCATCACTCGCGAACAAGACCCCGAGATACTTGAACTCCTCCACTTGGGGCAGGAACTCATCCCCGACCCGGAGTGGGCACTCCACCCTTTTCCGGCTGAGAACCATGGCCTCAGATTTGGAGGTGCTGATCCTCATTCCCGCTGCGTTACACTCGGCTGCGAACCGCTCCAGTGCGAGCTGGAGGCCCTCAATGATAAATCAAGAAATTAAATCAACACAAAAAAATTTTAACAAACCAAATTTCTATAACCTTGTATAATACTAATTTTTAAAATCTTCTTGAAGAATGACAAAGAAAAACACATCTTCAGTTCATCATTAAGTCCATTCCATAATTTCACTCCCAAAACTGACACACATCTATACTTAACATTGGTTCTCACTTTAGGCATTTCAAACTTATAAGACCCCCTCAAATCATATTTTCCATCTCTTAGTTGAAACATCCTTAAAATACAAATTGGAACATTCTTTTTCATCACTCGATATATCATTTCTAAAGTTTTAGAATATATAATGTCCATTTTAACATAGACGATCCTACAAAAAACTGGTTGGTGGACTCCTTATGTCCAACTTTATTTATTATTCTAATCGCTCTTTTTTGCAATTTAAATATTGAATCCAAATATGTTTTGTATGTGTTCCCCCAAATTTCTGCACAGTAGGTCATATAAGGCAAACAAAGGGAAGTATACAATAAATAAAGGCAGTTCTTATTCAAAAAATCTCTTGTTTTATAAAGAATAGAAATCGACTTGGATAATTTCCGTTTCACATGTTCTATGTGGGGCTTCCAACAAAGTTTATCATCAATAATTACTCCTAAAAATTTTGTCTCATATACTCTTTCAATTTCAACATTATTTAAATTCAATTTTACTTTAATATTACTTTTACTACCTCCAAATAACATAAATTTTGTTTTACTTTCATTCAATGATAGTTTATTAAATACAAACTGTCATGATCCTGGGTCCTTTTGACCCAGCGTTTTGTGTTTTCTCTTCGTGATTGTGGTTCTGTTCTTTCTCTGGTTAGTGTTTACTCTGTTCTGCCCGTGTGTTCCTGTATCTAGTCCGCGTTTCTTAGTTTGTGTCTTTTCTTGTGTAAGTTCCTGTTTTATTGTGAAGGTCTGTGTCTTATGCGAGTGTTTTCATTTGCCTCCTTAGTCTCGTCATGTTAATCACTCCCAGCTGTGTTCCCACCTGTATGTAATCTCCCTGTGTTCTCTGAGTGTATTTAAGTTGTGTCTTCTGTCATAGTAATTGTTGGTTCGTCTGTGTTGTTTCCCCTCGGTCTCCCTGCGTCTCTCCGTATGTATTTCCCCGGACCTCCCTGCATCCTCGTTTCTGGTTTGTGTTATTAGCTTACCCAGTTTAGGTTTCCGGTTTCTTGTTTTTCCACCAGTGCTGTTTTGTACCCACCGTGGTAAATAAATATTCACATGCACCAGAGCTGCCGCCTTTTGGGTCCTTTTCTACAACTCCACACGGCTTGCCCCCGGCAAACCGTGACAGTACGAACCAGCCACCATGGACCCAGCGGCAGTCAATCCGTCCGAGGAGCTCCAGGATGACATCGGCTACAATGTGGAGATCCTCCTCGGGCTGTGGCTGGAGAATCCTCCGTACGAGCTTCGCCGCGCCGTGGAAGGTCGGCTGCAACGGCTCTTTTCTGGCCTGCCATGGCTTCTGCAGTCGCTTCCTCCGACCATGCAGGCTTTTCTCCGGCTCACACCGCACCTTTTCTCAGCCACTCCTGCCTCGCTGCCCAACTCGCCGGATATGATCTTGCCCGGCCCGTCGGAGCCGTCTGCGGGGAGGAAACGCCGATCGCGCCGCAAGCGCGCCACCCCACAGCCGGACATTCGGGCTTCTAAATCGCCGGCTGTGGTGAGTGAGGACTCTTTTTCATTTTCGGACTGTATGACTGTTCATTCAGGGGCGATGTTCTGTGCAGCATATGATATTGTGAACAGCATATCACCTGCTCAGTTAGCTCCCCCGCAGCTACTCCCAGCTCAGTTAGCTCCCCCGCAGCCACCCTCAGTTCAGTTTCCAAAGCCCCCAGTGCCACTTCCAGTTCAGGCCCCCGTAGCTCCAGAGTCACCTTCAGCTCAGGCCCCCGTTGCTCCAGAGCAACCCGTAGCGCAGGCCCCAGTAGCTCCAGCGCCGCCTGTAGCGCAGGCCCCAGTAGCTCCAGCGCCGCCTGTAGCGCAGGCCCCAGTAGCTCCAGTGCCCCCGCTACCCGTAGCTCTGGCTCCAGTATCACCGGTTTCACTCATTCACTCCATGCAGGGAGAAAGTCTAATTTCACCTCAAGGTGCTTTTCATGGTTCAGCCGCCATTGGCACAGTTTGCCGCTCCAGGGCTTCCCCAGAGGCTAGGTCTCAGTCCCCGGCTGATTCTGGACCCCTGAAGTCTAAGCAGCTACCTGAGAACTGCGCCATGTCAGCATTGCCTGTGCAGAGCCCGTGCTCAGTGCATTGCCAGTTGCCTTCGTGTTTGCCAGAGGACTCCATGACTGCTGGCTTAGTGATGACTTCTGCTGGAGGGTCCGAGGGACCGCTCCGGCCTTCGTCTCCAGTCTCCGCTGGAGGGTCCGAGGGACCGCTCCGGCCTTTGTCTCTAGTCTCCACTGGAGGGTCCGAGGGACCGCTCTGGCCTTCGTCTCCTGTCTCCGCTGGAGGGTCCGAGGGACCGCTCCGGCCTTCGTCTCATGTCTCCGCTGGAGGGTCCGAGGGACCACTCCGGTTTTCGTCTCATGTCTCCGCTGGAGGGTCCGAGGGACCGCTCCGGTTTTCGTCTCATGTCTCCGCTGGAGGGTCCGAGGGACCACTCCGGCCCTTGCTTCCTGCCTCGTCAACTGGAGGGCCCGAGGAGCCCGTCCAGCTTCCTGCCTCATCAGCTGGGGGCCCCGAGGAGCCCGTCCAGCCGCCGGCTGCAGCTTCATCATCATCCTCGCCTGGCCCAGCCTCCGAGTCTTCCGCCTCGCCTGGCCCAGCCTCCGAGCCTTCAGCCTCGTCTGGTCCAGCCTCCGCCTGTGCTTCGCCTGGTCCGGCTTCATCCGAGTCTTCGTCCTCGTCTGGTCCAGCCACGCCTGGTCCGGCTCCGGCCTGTGCTTCGCCTGGTCCGGCTCCGGCCTGTGCTTCGCCTGGTCCAGCCTCTCCAGCCCCGCCTGGTCCGGCCTCGGCCTCTGCAGCCCCGCCTGGTCCGGCCCCGTCATTGCCTGCCTCGTCTGGTCCTGTGCCCACTGGGCCTCGGCCAGTACGCTTGACGCTGGAGCGCCGCCGCTGCCTTCCGCGCGGTCGGCCCCCTGAACTGCTCCGTCGTCTCCTTCGTCGCCGCCGCTGCCTTCCGCGCGGTCGGCCCCCTGAACTGCTCCGTCGTCTCCTTCGCCTGAGTGGCCACCGCTGCCTTCCGCACGGCCGGCCCCCGGACCCTCTTCGCCTGAGTGGCCGCCGTTGCCTTCCGCACGGCCGGCCCCCGGACCAGCGCTGTCGTCGCCGCCGTTGCCGTCCGCACGGCCGGCCTCCCGAACTGTATCCACGCCGTTGCCGTCCGCACGGTCGGCCCCCTGAACTCTTTTTGTCTTGGACTCCTGTGCTGTCGGCCTCCTGGCCGGCCCTCTGGACCTTTCTGTTTTGGACTCCATTTTCCTTGGGCTATGGTGTGTTTTGTTTTATTGGTCTTTTTCTTTTGGTTTTGGTCTCTGTTTTCCTGTGCTTTGGTGTGCTTCTTTTGTTTCTTTGTTTTTTTGTCTTTTGGCCTTCTGGTGCTCCTGTTTTTGTTTTGCCTCTTGTGCTCCTTCTGTTTTCAGTAATTTCTTTATGTCTTTTCCTGAGCAAACTAAGTTTGTATCATCAGCAAACATCACATATTTTAAAGTATCACTGGCTGTACAAATATCATTTATTTAAAGTAAAAATAACTTAGGTCCCAAAACAGATCCTTGCAGAACTCCACAAGTTACTTTTCTAAGTTTAGATTTCATGTTATTAATACTCACATATTGGAACCTATTATTCAAGTAACTATTTAACCACAATTGTACAACACCTCTTAAACCATACCTTTC